CCCATTCATACAGTCGAGGGTCAGACCAAAAGTGACAGTTTTTCGGTGAATATTATTCACACGATTCCGATATCAGATCTCTTGAATCAATCTAAATGTGACAGAAATGAGTGCATTCTCTCAGTTAATGTCAATAACTTTGAGCATAAAATTGATGTAAATATCAAAACAAAATTTCTCTTTTAAAAATGAGTTTTTAATATTATAATATTTTCCTTTTTCTACTAATTTAAAGGCAAATAACTTTATGTTGTTAACTGAACCGAAAAACTCAAAACTCGTGAAACCAAACATAAAACTAATTGATGTGAAGAAGACGTCGACTAAAGTGAACGATAAGACAGTGTTTGAGTTGAGTCTCTCATCGGAAACTGTGGCCCCGTTTGTAGTGTTGGACTTCAAAGCAAACTCTGGAATTAGGGCTCAATTCCTGGAAAACGGATTCTTTATATTCTCAGGAAAGAAGACCATTAAAATGCAAACGGAATCCAAAATCACCGAAAAGGATATCAAAGATAATCTAACCATTAAGACACTCACAGATGTTGTCTAATTATCTAAATTAATAAAGCTTCCCATTTGAAATTGTTATATTAATAGTTAAATGTTCTATGTAGGATCACAAAGTACTTTTAAAATACTTAAGGTAATAAGGGTTTGTTAATCGTTGAGTTCTTTTAGTGCTCTAAATTAATAAATTATTATTAATAAATAAAAGGATTGGTTTATCTAACTCGTAAATCTCAGTATATCATTGAATTATTGATTATCTCATTGTGATTTTAATGAGTACTAATAACTGAGTTAAATAACTTAGAACACTAGCAAATGTGACTTAAATTAATCTACTTTAAGTGTATGTGAACTATTTGCGCGAATACTATCATTTCAAGTGCTCATTAGATAATGAAAGTAAAAATAAGTGTTGTTTGGATCAATACTTAACAATCGATTCCTTAGTAATAATAACATTAAAGAATTATTTAGTAGTGGTTATAATTATCGCTTGTTTTTCATATAAAAATGTGAACATTAGAAAAATATTTTAACATTTTCCAAAATGTTTCAATTAAATATTGTCACCGTTTTATTATTAAGTTGTGTGAGTCTAGGCTTTGCTGAGTATTTGTCATTAGATGGAAAGGAGTGGAATGCCATCAGTAATAATAAATGTAATATATTTTTGTAATATATCTATTTTTGTTATTGATTCTCTTATTTGTTATTAATTGTTTCAAAAATTACTTTTAAAATAATAGCAATTAAAGTGAAGGCTACAGTCCCGGGAAGTATATACTCAGACCTCAGGAGGGAACAGGTCTTAAAACAAGATTTATTCTTCGAGAACAATGACGTCAACTATCGGTGGGTTGCGTACGATAACTGGACTTATGAGCGAACATTCAATGGTATGAAATAAAATTTATTCAATTATTAACATTAATTCATAACATATTTCTGGTTGCAATAGTTGACGCAAATATCATAAGCAAAAAGTATGTGAATTTGTTGGCCAATGGTATCGACACTGTTAGCAGTGTTTACATCAATGACCAGTTGATCGGCAAAACAGACAATCAGTTCGTGAGGTATGTGTTTGACGTGAAGAAAGTGTTGAAATCGGGACAAAACACTATACGACTGGCCTTTCAATCGGCGCCTATTTATGCCAAACAACAATCTGACGATTTCAAGAAAAAATACAATTATACAGTACAACCAGGTACAGTATATACAAGTTTGAAATTTTATACTTTAACTTGATTGAAACCTATTATGCATAGAATGTAACCCGGATCAATATCATGGCGAATGTCATTTCAATTTTATCCGAAAAATGGCCTCATCTTTCAGTTGGGATTGGGTTCGTATAAGTCTCTTGAGATTTGAATTAATTTTTAATAATTCAAAATAATTCAAAACTATCTAATCCTTAGGGACCGGCGTTTCCAACGGAAGGCATTTGGAAACCCATTGGAATCGAAGCCTTCGATAAACTAGTGATTAGAGACATAACAGTCGAGACAACTCCTGACCAGAAAAACAACTCTTTCTGGGATTTAACGGTTCATATAAAGATGGAGTCGGCGCCCAATCAAGAGTTTGAGGGCATATTTGACATCAAATTAGATAATAATGTTATTATAAAAAAAGACAAACTTAAATTTAAAACCGATGAGCAGGGATATGCTGGCGTGGCCTTTATAATCCTTCTCCGTGACATCAAAATCACGCCCTGGTATCCAAATGGAGTGGCAGACAATACACAGAAGTTGTATGACTTGAATGTCGAGCTATCGTTTGCCGACAGTAAGGAGGTTTCGACTCAAACCAAGAAAATTGGTTTCCGAACCATTAAACTGATCCAAAATCCAATCAAACCGGAAGGCCTTACCTTTTACTTTGAGGTGAACTCGAAGCCCTTCTTCGCGAAGGGATCGAATTGGATTCCAACCAATGTTTTGATGGAAGACATCACTCCCGAGTACTTAAGACATCTGCTTCTGTCAGCCAAAGAGGCGAACATGAATATGATGAGAGTGTGGGGGGGAGGGGTGTATGAGTCCGACCTGTTCTACCAGTTGGCCGATGAGTACGGGATTATGATTTGGCAGGACTTCATGTTTGCCTGTGCTTTATATCCGGCTAACAAAGAATTCTTGGATTCCGTACAAAAGGAAGTGATAACACAAGTGAGACGCCTTCAACACCACCCATCCATTGCCATTTGGGCCGGTATTGTAATTCTTTACTTAATTCACTGTATAATAAATATAAATTTATTAATATAATACTTCCTTGAAAGGTAACAACGAGAATGAGCAAGGTCTTGTCGGGTGGTGGAAGCCTCGTTTACCACAATATGATGCCGATTACCGCACTCTATATGTCCACACAATCGGCAAAATATTGGACACCGAAGATGGGACGCGTCCGTACGTGAGCTCCAGTCCCTCTAATGGCTTGGAGTCCATTAAGGAGAACTATACCGCTCAGAATCCCGAGGATTCACGTTATGGTGACATTCATTACTACAGCGATGGGTCCCGACTGTGGGACTGGACTACATTCTGGAGCCCCAAATTTGCCTCAGAATATGGATTCCAATCATACCCTTCAATGGATTCACTTTCTGAAGCCTTTTCTGCCAAAGAGCTGGTCTTCCCATTGACGCCTACAGTACAGCATCACCAGCACAAGTGGAATGAGGACGAGACTATTGTTCAACAGATTCGTAATTATAATAAATATTATAAATTACAAACAATATTCACATTTTGGTTATTATAGAGTATTATCTGAGAGTCCCATCGAAGGGAGGAATCGATAGATTAAATGATTTCGTGTATTCCTCGCAAATAATACACGCCATGGCTAT